CCCCCAAAAAAATGCGTTATCTGAAAGGTTAGATTTTTTTTTGTCCACATATTACTGAATAAATGCATCAATAATAAATGCCATAAATTGTACCTTTGCAAGCTTAAGTAAAATCAAGCTTTATTTTTGAATAGTTAATACTTATATTTTGTATATATGTATTTAGTAATTGAGTATGTAAAATCTCTCACCAAATTGAATTGCATTTGATTTAAATTTATTTTATTAAAAAGATCAAAAATGCTGTAAATCATTATGATGCAGTAGATTCACATTTTATGTTATTTTTCGAAATTTTTTCAATAAGCAACTATTAATACATTCCACCCAAATATAATCTATCAAAGTGTACACAAATTTTAAACTTAGTATTTTGAACAGCTGTTTTTTTTTNTTTTTGGGGGGGGGGGGAAACACCGTCTTAAAACCACTGTTTGGAATTAAGTATGATGTTTTTTAATTATTATAATTTATAGGAATGAAACTTCTGTATTTTGATCTAGAAGGAATTTAAATTTTCTCCAAATAATCATCAGTTTTGCAATTAATAAAAATTATGAAACCAATTTTAAAATACACACAATCTCTAAAATCAGCAACAACAAAAAAAATATGTAAAACTGGTATTTATATTCCATTTTAAGCTCGTAAAAGATGAGATTTGCTAGTTTCTAAATAGCAGATATGACATTTATTATGCCATTTTAAAAAAGATTTCAATATTGTTTTTTTCTTTCCTCAAAAGCATTTATTTAACAAAGAGATTTCAGTTAATGTTAGAACATGATTTAAAATAAAACTTTTATTCTGAAAGAAAAAAATTTTCAAAATATTAGTTATAGGAAAGTTTTGTTACAACTTTTGACATGAACTTTCCATGATACTGGACTGAGTCGAAAAATGTTGTTTGTAAATTTTTATGAACTTTTCATACTCTATAACATAAATCAGGGTTCCCACGGTCCTTAAAAACTGCTTAATTTTTATTTTGGAAAATAAGGGCCCTTAAAAGTACTTAATTTTGGTAGAAGGTTTTTAAAAGCGATAATAAATTTTTCAGCATCACTATAGTTGATAGGAGCAATTTTTCAGTCTTACAAAAATATTTAAAATAAAGTCGTAGAAAATGATATTTAAAATAAAGACCTAGAAATGATCATGCTTCGAGAGTAAATCATTTTGGAGAGACTAGAAGGACTGTGTGTGAGGGGAATGAATAACAAGTTAGCCAAAAAAGGCAATTTAATTGTTAAACTTTTATTAGCAATTGTCATAAGCAGTTGCAACTATTTTTATTGAGCTCTTTAATCAATTAATAATACTGTAAAAATTTTATTTGTCTTAATCAGAATATGTATTCTCAGAAGCTTCTTAGGATTTAATTACTCTGGTGTGCAAAACTTAAGCAACAAGTGCGTTTTTTGCCATAACTCTACAAGAAATCATCCGATTGACATGAAATTTGAATATGATGTACATTATTTTGTACTTAAACGATGGTAAAAGAATAATGACGCAGAAATGAATATAAAGCTTAAAGTAGGGTATGGAACAAAAAAAGGCTTTATTTGACATATAGTGGCGTTACACATGATTGCCTGAAGAAGCGTAAGTACAACTGGCAGATG